ATCGAGAACTCTCCCTCACCGCCATCGAGAACTCTGCCTCACCGCCATCGAGAACTCTCCCTCACCGCCATCGAGAACTCTCCCTCACCGCCATCGAGAACTCTCCCTCACCGCCATCGAGCTGATGCCGACTCACAGCGACCCCCCTGTAGGTTTCCGAGACTGTAACTGTTCACGGGAATTGAAAGCCCAGTCTTTCTCCCGCAGAGCAGCTGGTGGTTTCGAACTGCTGACCTTGCAGCTAGCAACTCCACAAGTAGTAACTACTGCACCACCAGGGCTCGCTGACTTAGGGAGCCATACCTTTAATTTTGGGGGTTTGAACAGCTGGATGAGTGGTGGCAAGGTAGAGGTGGACCCCTCATGGGAGTGGCAGGAGGAAGCAAGAAATGAAGAGTTCTCGTGCACGTATTCAATATCCAGGTGCAGAGGCTGAGTAAGAGATGGCTGTCAGGATCTAGTCAGAGTGGGGCTCTGTTGGAGTTATCAAGGTAGAGGAGCGGTTTAAAGTCACAGAGTGAGGGCAACTTAGAGGGAACCTATAATTCCCAAGCCAAACTCATTCCATAGAGTTGATTGCAACTCACAGTCACCTACAGTGTATAGTGCCCTGTGGGTTTCCAAGACTGTAGCTCTTGACTGTGGGTAGGAAGCCTCATCTTTGTCCCCTGGAACAGCAAGTCGTTTCCAACTGCTTACCTGGTGGTTGGCAGCCCAGTGCATCACCACTGGACCACCAGGGACTGAGACGTGAGGAGCCTGAATACCTCTTGCTGCTGCCAAAGGGAAAGGGAACTTGGAAGAGCAGCTCCAGGGAGAGGCCGGATGGAGCACAAGGCTTGTTGTCTAAAGATGTCGCTCAGTTAGTTTCCACTCGGAGGGGCTCCGTGGACACTCTAACCTGCCTGGTCTCCCACGATCTCTCACAACCCTCACAACACAAGCCAACGGGGTGTGACCAACTGATGGAGAAGTGCTTCCTAAGGAAAGGCAACGTGAAGGCACGTGTGCATGTCTGTGTCAGCGGCCCAGCAGAGTCAGGAGAAACTGCAGGCGTGGGAGAGAACGTAGTTACGGTCAGGAGCGAAGGCCTTGAGAAGGTAGGAGTGGGTGGGACCTGAGCACCGGTGGAGGGTGGGCTTTGTGTGCTTGGGGCAGGGACCTTTCGATCATGGTAACCATGGGCAGTGTGGCCCCACATGGAGGTGGGCTTGGGGTGGGAAGCTCCTGGTTTGACACTTCTGTTTTCTCAATGAAGGAGGAGGCCGTTGCTGGCGGAGAGGAGGGGAGGTTGAGGGACATGCTGCTTTGAAAGGAGATGAGAAAGAGGGCAAAGAGGCCTTTAAAGAGAGGGCTAGAGGGGGTTGATGGGAAGTGCCCTGCACCTGTTCGGCATGTGCAGACATCGATCAGAGGGAGAGGCATCCAGTTTGCTCTGTTGTTACTCTTACCAAGCTCTGCAGCTCGGGTGCAAATGGGACAGAGGGATGCTGGGGTTGGAAATTTGTTGAGAGGATGCCCCAGAGTCACAGAGTCTCAGAGACTGAGGCCAGCATTGCACCAGGGAAGCTAGCTTAGGTGAGGAAGGAGTTTGCTGAGGCAAAGGGTGTTGGTGGGGGCATGAGGGACAGTAAGATATGATAATAAGCAGGCAGGTTAAAGGGGGTGGCGGTGATCATGAGCAGTGCCCAACTCCAGAAAGTCTCTTGTGCATTGGGCTGCTAACTACAAGGTCAGCGGTTTGAAGCCACCAGCTGTTCCCTGGGAGAAACCTGGCTCTCTACTCCTGTCATGAGTTACAGTCTCAGAAACCCCAAGGGGCAGCTCTACTTTGTCCTAGAGGGTCACTCGAGTGAGAAGCGACTCAACGGCACCGTGAATTTGGTGCTTTGGCTTCCCGGGGAATTGTTGCTCAGACCCCCCTGACCTTGGCCTTGGTGCTCAGGACAGTCCTCTCTCAGCGAAGTGCCTGCCCTGGGCAGGACGGCCAGAGTAGAGATATGCCCAACTAATATTTTCACTCGAAGGCGGTACAGCTTGGCATCCAGGTGCCTCAACTCTGTGAGATAGTAGGGCAGGTGGCTTTTCCCAGTTAACAGTTGAGGAGACTGAGGCTAGGAGACTTAGAGGACTAGGCCGGGTCAGAACCCATGGTCTTGGCTCTCCACCTTGCGCTCCTTCCCAGAGTGAGTTTACGTCGGCATGGAAGCACCGTGTGTACCTGCCCAGCCGAAAAGTCACACCTTTCGGGCAAGGAGGGCCGCTGCAAGCAGCTGAAGACCCAGATGGCCTCTCAACCTCTCCGGGTGGGTGCCCATCCAGCGCCCAGGGCCTCCTGCATTTAGAGCATTCCCTTGCCTGAAGGTTACTTGGCTGGCTGGACACCCTCTTACTTTTCCTCTCCCCCAGACAAATGGTTTGAACTCTGGGACTGCAGCCTTCCTGCTTCTGGCTTCCTGGGCTACTGCCGGCAGACTCTGAAGCTGAGTGTGGGGCGCAGGGCAGAGCCCCAGCTGAAATCTCACGGGCTGGGAGGTCAGGTTTGGCCTGTTTGCTTCTGAAAGGGCTCTGGGAAAGAGGATTGCTCAGAGCTTCTCCCAGCACCTGGGCTGCCACTTCCAGTCCTGCCACACCCGTTCTGTCCCCACTCCCACCCCACCCCCA